CCTAATCTCGACAAAGTCATTGAAGAATCGAGGTTTCTGATAGTTGTCTTCTCTAAAAATTATGCATGTTCATCATGGTGTTTGAGGGAACTTGTAAAAATTCTCGACTGCAAGGAGGCGAGAGAGCACAAGCATGAGGTTCGAATAATCTTCTATGACGTGAAGCCTGATGTGGTGAGGAAACAGACTGGGAGCTATCACAAGCGTTTGCCAGACATGAGATGTCAAATAGAACAGAGGTTGCTAAGTGGAAAGAAGCTTTACTCATGGCTGCCAACTTATCTGGATGGGATCTCCAAGACATGGCAAATGGGTAAATTTGTTCTTTATTATAATGATTTATATCTCTTGTCAAATTAACAAGGGGCCATATCTTCTGAATTTCATTAAGTARCTGTTTTTCTCCCTAACAAATTAATCTAGTAACTTTATTAGAACTAATTCTATACATTCGGGGTTCTTTCTGGTCAACAGGTTTGAGTCCAAATTCATTGCTAGCATCTCGGAAGAAATCTTCAAAGCATTATCTCATGAATCTTTGCATGTTGGCGAGAATCTTGTAGGGGTGGATGCACGCATAAAGAAAATGAACTTGTTACGATTTGTTGGGTCARATAAGGTACACATGATAGGGATATGTGGTATTAGTGGAATAGGAAAGACAACCCTWGCCAAAGCTATTTATAACTCGATGTGTATCCACTTTGAGGAATGTAGCTTTTGTGAAAATATCCAAGGAGTCGCTAAGCAACAAGGTCTAACTCAAGTCCAAATGCAACTTATTGGTAAAATCATGAAAGCAAGAGTTGTAGAGATATCAAGTGTTAGTGAAGGAATTATGGTAATAAAGCAAAGGATGCCAACGAAGCCAATCCTACTTGTTCTAGATGATGTGGATCATCGCGATCAGTTAGAAGCACTAGCGGGTTCACCTGTTTGGTTTTTCCYAGGAAGTTTTATTATTTTCACCGGTGATGACAAACAGTTGCTAAGATCTCATAGAGTCGATGAAATTTATGACATGTCAATTTTAACACATTATGAAGCTTATGAGCTCTTTAGTTTGTATGCTTTTGGGGAAAAACATCCGCCAAAAGATATCAAAGAGCTCTCTTATCAAGTTGTATACTGTTTGCAAGGGCACCCTTTGGCTCTCAAAGTTTTGGGTTGTTTTTTGTATGACAAGCCTATGGATGTGTGGAAAAGTGAACTAGATGAACTTAGAACATATCCTGATGTAGAGATACAACAAAAACTGCGACCAAGTTTTGATGGGCTAGACCTCAATCGAAGAAGGACCTTTCTTGACATCGCATTCTCATTCGTAGGGGAAGATAAAGATTTTGTGGCAAGTGTACTAGGCAAAGACAATTCCTTTGCATATGCTGATTTGGAAGTACTAGTTAACAAGTCACTTATTACAATATMACGAGATGATAATTCACTTCAAATGCATTGCTTAATTCAAAGCATGGCAAGGAGAATTATACTTGAAGAATTAGAGGTAAAGGAAGTCGGGAGCAGACTATGGAATTTATCAGTAGTTTCTAATGTATTGAGCAAAAATAAGGTAAGAAGTGGAATATGGTTCTTTTTGCTACGTAAATACATAGTATGAGCAACTGCATATTTTATTYTTTTCCATATAAGTTATATGTAAGTTCTTATAATAGAATCTGATAATCTTATTACTGGTATCTAGGCAATAGAAGCAGTCGAAGTTCTTGACCTTTTTCTCACAAGATCTAGTAAAAACATTCATATACACGGTGAAGCTTTCGAAGATATGGAAAATCTACGGATCCTAAAAATTTGTGAAGTAGAACGTGGAAACTTTTGGAAGGACTCTAAGGTGAATTATTCTGGAAGGTTGAAATCCTTATCGAATAAGCTAAGGTTGCTTTATTGGTATGGATTCCCTTTCAAGTTCCCTTCAGATTTTTATCCAGAAAACATTGTTGCCATCGACTTGTCTTACAGTCACATAAAAACTCTATGGACAACACCTAAGGTAYTTATTTGTTCATGCAATTCTCCTCTATTTAACACATGATGATCTAAGMACTTACCTTTGTGTCCTTGATGTTAGTGTTTTGGAAGGTTGAAAGTGATGAAGCTAAGGCATTGTCGTAACCTGACAAATACCCCTAATTTCACAAGGATTACGAATCTCGAAGAGCTAWGTCTTGAAGGTTGTGTGAATTTGGTTAAATTGCACCCATCTTTTGGAATGCTCAAGAGGCTGCTTGTTCTAAATATGAGATGTTGCRAACGTTTTAGGGGATTCCCTTGCAAAGTCGAAATGGAATCTCTTGAAGTTTTGGATCTCTCGGGTTGCTCAAAAGTGGACAAACTTCCGGAATTCTTCGGCAACATCCAGACTTTGAGGGAGTTTTCTGTTGATGGAACGGCCATAACAGAGCCAATACAACCTTCAAGTATTAAAATTTGGTCGACATGAGAGGATCCGATCTAGACGGTGGACTTCAATTTCCCAACCTTCATGGTTACCAAGTAAGATGCAGCATCCCCAAAATCTCGTAATGCCTTCATTGGTGAATTTATGTTTCTTACGAGAATTAATATTTAGCCATTGCAATATATTGGAAGTGCCTGATAGCATTGGAGGCTTATCATGTCTAGAATCTCTAAACTTGGATGGGAACAACTTTACTAGTTTGCCTGGATGTTTAACTCAACTTTCTCATCTTCAACATCTTCAACTTTCTGGTTGCAAGAAGCTGGAAGTGTTGCCAGAACTTCCACCTAGCCTTCGTAGTCTTTCTGCAGAGGATTGCACATCCTTGCGTGAAGTACAAAGACCAGTTGGTTAYAATATTAAGTCATACTTAGCCATTTATCTTAACATCTGTCCGAAATTATTTAGGAATCTTAGAATTGAAAACCAGGTTTGTCTGATGCAACCTCTACCTAATCTTAACTCATCTATAACCTCCCACAGTTGTAGAAACCAAATTTCCTCTTTGCTTCAATTTATGGAATTCCCGAGTAACACATGTGGAATCTTCCGTAGAAAAGAAAGACAATTCTACGGTCGTGACCGTTTGGATATAATATATCATGGAAATAGAATTCCACAATGGTTTACAAATACAAGTATGGGAAATCACTTACAAGTCGAATTGCCTCCAAATCTGTGCTACAATAAGGTGAGGGGATATGGAATTTCTGTTGTTTTGACACCGAAAAAGTCTTATGGTCATGAAGATTACCACAAATACTATACACCAAAGTATTATGTGGACAACTTTGATGGTACATTTTTGGTTAAGCATTGTGCATTCTACCATTACTCCATTGGAATCCCTAAGTCAGATGTCATATGGTTTTGCTTTATGAATGTGGAATATTGGGAATGGACGGAAGCGAAGAAYTTTGTTACTTTTTCATTCAGAGATAATAATGATGTCAAGGTAAAAGAGTGTGGTGTAAGACTTGTTTTTGATGAAGATATACAAAACGAAGAAACGGATTTCAGTATCACTCGGGAACTCYCGAATCCAACACAAGATGGAGGTGCCTTCAGAATAAGTAGGAATGGTCAAGGTTTGTTTTGGTCGTGGTAGGTAGTCCGATTAATAAAGTTGTATTGTGGTGATCTATATGTCAAAATCTGGATGTSACCAACTGTACTATAATTTTGTGATTTTTTTCCACACAATTATAATTTGTATTTGGTAYCATAATTATGTAATAAAAAATCTCTACAATTTGTATTTGTATTTTGTTTCAATAAAATCTTAAAAACATTCCAATTTTCAACATGTTCGTTTGGATAATAACATTGTGATCTAAYCTATCAACTAGTTTTTACCAAATATGACCCATAGTTTATCACTACTATAACAAACATAGTCTCAAAGTCAAACGTGATTTGGGTAAAAAAAAGGTTGAATAAAATAACTTAATTAATGATAAATCATATTAATTTGTTTTGTGTCAYCGTATTATTTCTCTGTCGAAAGATAGAAAACTTTAGGTTTGTGAAAGGTGCAACCATATTAATTTGTTTTGTGTCACCGCAGGTATTTCGAAACTACAATGTGAACAAATTATCTTTAGTAGAGTTGGTTTGCAAGACTTTTATTCCACCTCAAACCCGAGTTTGTATCCTGTTAGTATCATTTCTTTAGTCAAATAGTGTTACTGTTTGAAAAAATTTCCCTATACACTACAACAAAATCGGTTTTATAAGACACTCTTAAATTCTAAATGTCCTAATAGACCTCTTTATAGGACTTAGTTTATAGGACCAAAAAATTAAAGTGTTCTATCTAAAGGTGTTGTAATAAGTTTATATGACSTTTTTTGACGTCGTAATAAGTTTTTTATAACACTTTTAATATAAAAGCRTGACATTATCAACTTTATATGACACTGTTGAGAAAGTGTCCTATAAACTCAATTTTTATAGGACATTTGTTTTTATAGGACAGTTTTTCAAATAATGTTCTAAAAAGTTGATAATTGGACGCTTTATATTAAAAGTGTCCTATAAAAAACTTATTACGACATCAAAAAGCGTCATATAAACTTATTACAACATCTTTAGATAGGACACTTTAGTTTTTTTTGGTCCTATAAACTAAGTCCTATAAAGAGGTCTATTAGGACACTTAAAATTTGAGAGTGTCCTATAAAACCGATTTTGTTGTAGTGATATTTATTACCTATAGTCAAATGGTGTCACAGTTTGAAATTTTTTTCCTATATTTGTTTCTTATAGTCAAATGATACCACAATTTGGGAAAAAAATCTAGGTCCATCCCTGACCAGATACCCAGTTTTATGAGAAATCAAAGCAACACATCGATTTATATATATATATATTAATGGTTGTAGGGATTTTAAGTTCTGGTGGGTATTTCTTTTATGAAATTTGAGGTAGTATTTCTACCATTATCTCATTTAGAATGCTTTTAGAAAGTTCCAAAGTAAGTTTYAAAAAGGTTTTAATGTTGTGGCAYAARTGTGTTATCGTCTAAAGGATATGATRATAAAAAAATGTTGATATTTAGATAATGATGCAATTTTTAGTAAAACAATTATAAATATTATAAGCATTTTAGTATGTTTTAAACGAATTTTAAGTTGTTCCATATTTTTTATAGCTAAGAAATTTATTTAAGTTTATATTAGACTATTTTGAGGATGATTTGGGTTCAAGAAATCTTAAGAGTAAGGGGCCGTTTACTAATACCCAATAAGTACTTATCAGGTAATTTTTTTCATCGGACGAATATGACAAGGGCCAAAAATCTTACTCGGTAAGAACGATGCTAAGGATGGAGAATCTTACCTGGTAAATGAGGATAGCGTCTCTTATCCGGGTAAGCGTTTACCAGGTAAATTGTTACATGGAATACGTTTTGATGTATTACAATCTTACCCATTAAAATAAGTTATAATGTTGACTTCTAACTATAAACACTTATCGGGTAAGCATTTAGGTAAACAACCTCTAAGTCGATATTGTTTTAATGGAAGTTTCGTGGAGATAACTATGAAACTTCCAAAGTCTTACCAATTACTTTGACCAAATAAAGTTGCATAATTTGGGGGTGGGTGGGGCTAAAAGTGTAATCTTCCCATATAATTTTTAATAAAAGTTAATTTTGTAATTGATTTCTCTCTTAATTTCATAAGAAGTTTAATGTAAACGATAAAACTGAGAAAAATTCTTTAAAACTATTTTTTATACATAAAGTACTGTTTATTAATGCATATTACTTAAAACTCAAGATTGAAAATAGATTATGCRTAAGTACAACTTATGAAAGCTCCATATCTGAATTCGTGAATTCGTGTAACTAACTGCAGATAAACATAATCAAATATAGGATAAACATCTCATTTTAAATACAAAAAACTTAAATGTAATTAGGATAATCTTTGAGTTCTAACAGAATACTTAATTGTTATATTTATAAAATGTTATATTATTAAACCAAAAATAAATTATAGCGTTATTAAACTTAAATTAAATGATAATAAAATAAATAAATTAAAGATTGACATAATAAATGAGAACTTTTAAATAGTTGATTTTATATTAACATTGATATATATTTTTTTTCCAATTTTTATGAAATCTTCAAATTTATATTTTATTCAAAAATAAAATCATTATTGCTTTCTTAAAAACACATAAAATTCGTATTGTAACATYGACAGAGACAAAAAATAAAATAAAACATTAAAATCGAGATGTATCTCGCTGCATTGCKCGAGTACCTTTCTAGTGAATCAAAATATATTCATGTCTTAGGTCCTGTTTACCAAACGCTTACCCGGGTAAACGCCTACCAATTCACTTTACTTTATCGGATGAATATGACAATGACTAAATATCTTATCCGGTAAGAGTGAAGGCAAGAATCCAGTCTTACCCGGTAAGTGAGGACGGGGACTCTTACCATTGTTAGCGCTTACTGGGATAAATTGTTGCATACGATGAGTTTTAATGGATAAAATCTTACTTGATAAGTAAGCGATAATGTTGAATTTTACCGATAAGTGTTTAGGTAAACGGCCCCTTAGAGCGTATATTATGTTAAGGTTTTTCATAGCTTTTTCCTTACATATTTCCGTCACCTCAACAATTTAAAAACCTCAACATATCTCCAGTATGTCAAAAACCCGACTCATGTTTTTTCATAGCTTTTTCAAACGTTTTAGGTTTAACCATTTTAACTTTATATCATTTATATTATTAATTATAAAAATCAATATATTAAAAATATATACAACAAAAATATATCAAAACCTTTTAGTATATTTTAGATGAGGGTAAAGGCTCTAACTCCAATTGTTTTTGGGTGTAAATGGTGCTAAAGCTTGACAGGGTTTACTAMMCTAACAAATAATGTTCGGAATTGATTGTGAACGAATGTGGTGAGGGTGATTTAAAGAGATGTGTGTGCCCTGGTCCCGAAAACCGTTTTGTTTCTTGTGCAAGGTTTCATGGCACTTTGGATATATGTGAGAAGAGAATTAAGGAGGCTATGGATCAAACTCGACGTTGGTTTTGATGTTGTTTTAGAAAATAAATGATGGATGGATGTCAGGGACGGACCCAAAAAAAATTTCAAACGTTGGCACCATTTGMCTATAAGAAAAAATTATAGGGAAAAAATTTCAAACAAGGGCACCGGTTGACTATAAGAAACAAATATACATAATATTTTTCAATCGGTGACATTATTTGACTAAGAAAATGACACTAATAAGATTTGAATTTGGACCTGGAGTGGAATAAAAGCCTTACAAACCAACTTTACCAAATAAAACTTTCTCTCATTGTAGTTTCAAAATACATACGATGGCACACAACAGATTAATTTGGTTGCACCTTTCACCAAATAAAACTTCTTAATCCAACACCACATCTTCTGTAAGTAATCCATTACTTTTACTTATTATGCGTTGCTTTTCTTTTTAAATGCTTGTTTTAGTTGATCTAAGAAACCCCCAACTGTTAATCCATCTTTCTTTTACTCATCCATGTTAAATTCAAAGCTACTCTTTTTTGGTGGATCTCTACATGTGTTTAGCATTTCATCATTGATAATGGCTACTACATCCATTCAACGACCTTGGTGGACATACGATGTCTTGGTAAGTTTTAGAGGTGAAGATATCCGTAAAAGCTTTATGGATCATCTATTCAAAGATTTAAAACAAAAAGGAATTCATGTGTTTAGAGATGATATGGATCTCACCCTAGGCAAAAACATATCTCCTAATCTCGACAAAGTCATTCAAGAATCGAGGTTTCTCGTAGTCATCTTCTCTACAAATTATGCATCTTCGTCATGGTGTTTGAGGGAACTTGTAAAAATCCTTGACTGCAAGGAGGCGAGAGAGCACAAGCATGAGGTTCGAGTGATCTTCTATGACGTGAAGCCTGATGTGGTGAGGAAATAGACTGGGAGCTATGCACAAGCGTTTGCCAAACATGAGATTTCAAACAAAGCAGAGGTTGCTAAATGGAAGGAAGCTTTATCCATGGCTGCCAACTTATCTGGATGGGATCTCGAGGACATGGCAAATGGGTAAATTTTTTCTTTACTATAATGATTTATATCTCTAGTCAAACTAACAAGGGGCCATATCATTTGAATTTCATTAAGTAGCTGTTTTTCTCCCAAACCAATTCATTTAGTAACTTTATTAGAACTAATTGTACACATCTGGGGTTCTTTCTGTTCAACAGGTTTGAGTCCAAATTCATTGCTAGCATCTCTGAAGAAATCCTAAAAGCATTATCTCATGAACCTTTGCATGTCGGCCAGAACCTTGTAGGGGTGGATGCCCGTATAAAGAAAAGGAACTTGTCACGGTTTGTTCACTCAAACAAAGTTCACATGATTGGAATATGTGGTATTGGTGGAATAGAAAATACCACTTTTGCCAAAGCCATTTATAACCTCATATATAACCACTTTGAGGAATGTAGCTTTTTGGATGATGTCCAAAGGGCCACAAAACAACATGCACTAACTCATGTCATAATGCAACTTATTAATGACATCATGAAAACAATAGATGTGAGGATATCCAACATTGGTCAAGGAATTATGGTAATGAAACAGAGAATGGCAACTAGACGGATCCTACTTGTTATAGATGATGTAGATCATCGTGATCAGTTAGAAGCACTCTCAGGTTCATGTGATTGGTTTTTCCCAGGAAGTTTGATTATTTTCACTAGTAAAGACAAGCAATTGCTAAAGTCTCATAAAGTGGATGAAATCTATGACATGGAGTTTCTCGATGATTTTGAATCCCGTAAGCTCTTTAGTTTGTATGCTTTTCATAAAGAACATCCTACTAAAGAGTTTCAAGAACTTGCTCTGCAAGTTGTGCAGTATGTGAAAGGTCACCCTCTTGCTCTCAAGGTCTTGGGATCTTTTCTTTACGGAAAAACTGTGAAGGAGTGGAAAAGCTAATTGGACGGGCTCCAAGTATATCCTAATGAAGAGATACAACGGGTGCTTCGATTAAGTTTGATGCGTTAAGCCCGCAACAAAAAAAACATCTTCCTTGATATTGCATCTTCATTCATTGGTGAAAATAAAGATGTTGCAACAACTATACTAGATGGTTGTAATTATCATACAGATACAAATATCAAAGTTCTAGTTGACAAGTCATTACTTGTTTCTCGTAATGATTTGCTTGAAATGCATGACTTGATCCAAAATATGGCAAGGGAAATTATACGCGAAGAGTCGAACACCCCTGGGAAGAGAAGCAGGTTGTGGATTTCATTGGAGGTTTATGATGTATTGAATAAAAACGAGGTAAGAAGTGGCATATGATTATTTTTTATATACGTCACTCTTTTCGATCCAAACTATATGTTCCATATTCTTTTTACTTGGATCTAGGGAACAGAGGCAGTTGAAGTCCTTCACCTTTTGCGAAATGAAGATTATCTAAAGGTTCACATTGATGCTAAAGCTTTTGCACATATGAAGAATTTGCGGATCCTACAAATATGTGATGAAGAACTCAGACATCATTGGCATGCATTTGATTTGAARTTGTGGAAGGAATCTAAGGTGAATTACGGCGTGAAGTTGAAATTTTTATCAAATAAGTTAAGGTTACTTTATTGGCATGGATTCCCTTTCAAGTGCTTCCCTTCAGATTTCTACCCAGAAAACATTGTTGCATCGATTTGTCTTACAACCACATCAAAAATCTCTGGACATCGCCTAAGGTACTTATTTTGCTTTGTATATGCATTCCTCATATGTTTTTAATACTTGGAGATCTAATTAAGTGTTTACCTRTTTGTCCTTGATGTTAGTGTTTTGAAAGGTTGAAAGTGATGAAGCTAAGGCATTGTCGTAACCTAACAAGTACCCCCAATTTCACAATGATCACAAATCTCGAAGAACTCATTCTTGAAGGTTGTGTGAATTGTGAGGTAAAAGAATGTGGTTTTAGACTTGTTTTTKATGAAGATATAGAAGAAGAGACGAATGGTGGAGGAATCATCGACGTTTCTATTGGTCAGGGTAGGTAGTCTGATTAACAAAGATGTATTGTCGTGATGCATATGCCAAAGCTTGGATGTCATTGATTGTAACATAATTTTGTCATTTTTCCCTCACAATTGTAATTTGTTTTCAGTATCATAACTATATAATGAAAACTGTCTTTGATTTATATTCATAATTT